GTTTTTTAATATTGTTCATCTAGTGATAATAAAGCCATCCAAACAAATTAAAAAAAGAAAAAATTCTTTCTAAAGCCTAGATCTAAGTATCTCATCAAAATGAACGCCTATGTTAATTGGGCTAAAAAAATATTTTTTAAGTTGGGTTTTTAATTTTTTTTTTTTTAAAAATTATTTATTAAAATGAAAAGAGTGTATATTTCAAAATTTGGATCAAATAAATAACCATAAAATAGTTTTTTAAAGTGGTTGGATATTACTATTAAACGGTTACATGAACTCATTGCTCCATACACGATACTTCTCTCCCTAAGCTCACGCATTACACTGTAGAACGTTTCATCCTCTTAGCTTCTTGGCTCTTAAAAGCGACCATGGCCTTGGCATCAAGAGCCCTTCTCTCTCATACCATCCACCTCAACCCCATGAAAATCCTGTCCCCCATAACAACAGTACGACAAAAAGGCGCCAAAATTTTGTGAGATACCGAACGAAGAGGAGGGATCCACCATTAAAGCACTCTGTTCAAGCTCCGCATGCGCACCTCAAAAGACCATTCACTGCTCTCTTTGCACACATGGTCGAATCTCTAAGTTTTTGCAGCAAATTTACAACGAATCTCAAGTTTTCCAGAAAGAGCCCCTTTGCCCTTCCCCCGTTTCTCTCTCTAGATCTGAACCCTCGCTCTCACCCCCTCCAATTGGACCCTACCTCCATCCACAAGGGAGCAAAATTTGGGCTTCTGTCCCCTTTATCAATCAGGTCCTCAATCTACACGATGCCCAAGCTCTGAGCATTGGGTAATTGGTTCTCTCCGAGATTTCTGGGGTTTCTTCTTTACTATTAATTGGGACAATTGGTTCTCTGTAAAATTGAGCTTTGGAGATTTTGGTTTACATGGGGACAGAGAAGTAATGAGTGATAAGCGTTTTCTGGTCTTTCAAATGGATGAAACAAACCTCTTCCCTTGAAGTCTCGTCTCAAGATTTGAACCCATGCCTGCCAAGAGAGAGAGAATAGAGCTTTGGAAACTGCAGAGCTGAAGGAGATAAGAGGTTGCAACCGTAAAATGTAGAATTACACATGCGCCTTAAATATCCATCTAAAAAGAAAAACCACTAAGTGATCATCCTTTAAGATTGTACCTCAAAAATCCATCGGAAAAGATAGGTTTAATGTTGACAAAAAAAACAAAAAAATTGAGTCGTGCATCTTGCTATACATTATCCAAACCGTCCATAATTTTCACATTTTATAAATCTAATTGATTTTAACTATTTTAGGAGTTTAAAATTTTATAATTAGATACAAAAATAGATTTCGCGATAATCCTAAGAATGTTTTTCACCAAACTTATATGTTACATAGAAATTTGAAGGTGCACCTTGGATTGTTTAAGGTTGCAACCTTATGAAAACCACGGCCTTTTGTGAATGAAAATACAAATAATGTGTAGAGAGAGATGACTTTTTTGTGGTTTTTTTTCTTGTCTTTGTTCATATAATATGCGGCGGAGGTCTTGGTTCCCATGTTTGTTCTTTCTTCTTACAATTTATTTATAAGTTTTTGTTTCTCTTTAAAAAATGTAGCTTTTATTTGCTAGTCGATGGTTACTTCAGTTGCGTCAATAACTTCGTGTCCATTTTGGAGAACCATCTTATAAAGTCACGAATGTTGTAAGCCAACTAGGGAACTAAGCAAATTTCGTTCAACAATATCAACACAATTTGGACTCAAATACCTTAATAAATGAAGGGAAATTGAATAAAATACTCACGAGAGATGTATTATTGAGTATTTTACACTTAGTACTATTCCAATTCATAATCATATGCCTTTTTATGGGGCATTTCAAAATGTTAAATAATTCATCTTAAATGGGTATTTTGATGATTTTCCCATAATATTAAATAATTCATCTTACATGGGTATTTTGATGATTTTCCAATAAATGAATGAACAACTAATAAAGGCTCAAATGTGTTGCTCATCATGGCCGTGTGTTCTTCAGGTGTCGGAACACCCTATGTTGCAAACTGCTGCTTTTCTTTTCTTTTCTTTTTTTTTTCTTTTTTTTAAGATTTTTTATTCTCTTCTGTATAATCTCAGTTCTTCTATTGTTACACTTGCAGAGTGGTGGGTCCTGCAATCCCAATGTTGCATTTGTTTCCAATTTTATCCGCTTCCTTCATCTCAACTACATTCATTTTCCCCTCAGTTTCTTCCACATTTTGAGAACATTCATCTCGAATTTGAATCGGCAAGATCTTTTGCTTTCCATTGTCATTCTTGGCTCTACCCCAAAGCACAATGTAAAGCCCGCAAAATACCACAACCATGCCGACCACACTGCAAAACCAAAACCCATACTACGTTTAAAATCATGACCTCCACAGAGACCGCTAATGTGCAAATGCAACAGTTTGCTTCTTGTGGCACACTAGCAAGAATTTTCTGTTGATCTTTCAAGAAGTAATGCTAACCAAAAAATTGAGAAGTAAATGGCCATGGATTGTAGTTAATTTGATCTCTACCAAATATTTAGTTCAAGGGATCCAGGAAAAGAACTTGCAGGAAAACAATATACTCACCTTCCAATGTGAAGATCCACACGAAGAGTTATGGGTTCAAGAATAGCCACTATTACTGTGCTCAAAGGAGCGAATGCCGCTATATAAACAGGGCCTTTTTCTTTGCGGGACCAACTTAGTAAAAAGAATGATAAGACTGTGCCCAAAATACCCTGCATTGCACCAAGAACATTAACTCGTCAAAACATGTGGATTAGTCCTAACAGTGATGGAATAGTGAAGATTGTCCTAAGAGTGATGCAATAGTGAAGAACTTGGAAACAACCATGGTGGATTTGACTGGTTTATAATTTCTTGAAATCTAAATTACTAAAACATTTACAACAATAGGAATAATTATGTTTCTCATTTCCAAATATCAAGAAGTAAAAGAAAATAAAGTAAATACTGTTTTATGGCAGATGTGCAACAAAATTTGCATAAATAATGGAATTTCTACCATCTATATTGTTGTGTGCTGCTATATAAGTAACCTTTCAGCACTTTGGCCCTCGTTAACAGGGTCAGGAGGCTATTAGAACTATTTTGGCATATGGAAATGTTTCTTTGGGGTTACGTTAGAGTTTAAGATGTTATATAAGCTCTTTATATGTTTGATGCTGTAATTGACAATTCTCATGGCAATTCCAACTAGTACTTTTGAAGTTGCAATAGTGAAATCATGTTCTGTGTTCGCCTATAGATACAGTCACATTAGCGATGGACCACTTAAATCTTGGTGTTTCTCTGTTTTATTTCGTTTGGTTCTTTTTGCTTTATGTTGGTAGTGCTACTTGTACTTTCTGCTTTTCGCCATTATCATCATCCTTATCTTCTAGGATATCTTGCAAAACGTATATTGCGGATTCCAATTTAGTGAAAAGTAGTTTTTGTGCTTAAAATATAAAAACAACGAGGATAAAGTGAACTTCTACATATGTAGGGATGTTATGCTGCTTGCATCTAGATGCGATATTAAATTACTTGAATCTGTTTCACTTAGAGATGTTATGCTGCTTGCATCTAGATGCGATATTAAATTAATTGAATCTGTTTCATGTAAGGATACAAGAAATCGACATGAGTTTGTTTAATAT